CAACCTTACAACTTCCTTTACTAATGACAGAATTCATCTCCGGCCTTTTCGTTATGGTTAGAGCTACAACCTGCTCATGGTATAATCTTTTTGTGTTCCATTCTCTGATTCATTTTCAGTAACTCCTATAATTCCCATGGGTTTACCTTGCAACTTCCTCCATTCAGAACACAATGGCTCCACTTGTTACAATGGAAACATTTAAGTTCCAGATGTCACCTCCACCCTCACCAATTTCCATCTTAGTCCAAGGAGTTGGGGCATTCTCTATGTCCATTCTCAACCCTTGCTACTTGTGTTCCGTTCGCTGTTCCACTCTTTTCTCAAATTTCTGAGGGCGACAGAAGAAAAAGTTTATGTATCAGTTCTGAATTAACGTACATGATAGCTGCTTGTCTTGCTGTTGCTACCCTTTGGTCTTCTAGATGAGTTTTGATTATAGAAGGGAAGGAAGCTTTAAATTCTTCTTAAAAGAATAATTTATCTGAGAACATCATAGGTATTTTCAGCCTTTAATGTTCTTATTCACCTGTCAAGAATATTCTGTTTAACTCTTTGAAACTCAGTATAAGTTTTGTCCTAAAAGACGTAGTTGCTCGACTGGGTTTGCAGCAGGTGGTGAGGGAACCAGCAAGAGGAAAAACATACTTGACCTCATCCTTACCAATCTGCCAGCTGCAGTTGCATCTGTCCATGACAGTATTGATAAGAGCAACCACCGCACAATCCTTGCAGCAACGAAGTCCCACCTTCACATTGAGAATAACCTCCATTGTGCTCTGTGGCACTATCACCGTGCTAAATGGGACTGACTTTGAACAGATCTATCATCTCAAGACTGGGCATCAATGAGGCACTGTGGGCCATCAACAGCAGCAGAATTGTACTCCAGCACAATCTGTAACCTCATGGCCCTGTATATCTCCCACACAACCGTACCATCAAGCCAGAGGATCAACCCTGGTTCAATGGACAGTGCAGGAGGGCATACCAGGAGTTGCACTAGGCATACTAGAAGATGAGTTTTCAACCTGGTTAAGCCACCAAACAAGACTACTTGCATGCCAAACAACATAAGCCACAAGTGATAGAAAGAGCTATGCGATCTCACAACTAACAGATCAGCTCTGAGTTCTGCAGTCCTGCCTCATCCAGTTGTGAATCGTGGTGGATGATTAAACAACTCACTGGAGGAGAATGCTCTACAAATATCTTCATCCTCAGTGATGGAAGAGACCAGCACATCAGTGCAAAAGATAAGGCTGAAGCATTCGCAGCAATCTTCAATCGAAAGTGCAGAGTGGATGATCCATCTTGGCCTCCTCCAATAGTCCCCAGCATTACAGATACCAGTCTTCAGACAATTCAATTCACTCCATGTGATATCAAGAAACGGTTGGAGGCACTGGATACTGCAAATGCTATGGGCCCTGACAAAATTCTGGCAATAGTACTGAAGACTTGTGCTCCAGAACGTGCCAATTCCCTAGCCAAGCTACTGCAGTACAGTTACAACACTGGCACCTACCAACAATGTAGAAAATTGCCCAAGCATGTCCTGTACATAAAAAGCAGGGCAAATCCAATCCAGCCAATTACCACCCCATCAGTCTACTGTGGATCATCAGTAAAGTGATGGGAACTGTCATCAACAGTGCTATCAAGCTGCACCTGCTCAGCAATGCCCAGTTTAGGTTCTTCCTGGGACTTTCAGCTCCTGACCTCATTACAGCCTTGGTCCAAACATGGACAAAAGAGGTGAGAGTGACAGCCCTTGACATCAAGGCTGCATTCGACCAAGTGTGGCATCAAGGATCCCTAGCAAAACTGGAATCAGTGGGTATCAAAGGCAAACTCTCTGCTGGTTGGAGTCATATGTGGCACATAGGAAGATGGTTGTGGTTGTTGGAAGTCAGTCATCTCAGCTCCAGGACACCTCTGCAGGAGTTCCTCAGGGTAGTGTCCTAGGCCCAAACATCTTCAGCTGCTTCATCAGTGACCTTCTCTCCATCATAAGGTCAGAAGTGGGGATGTTTCCTGAAGATTGCTCAATGTTTAGCACCATTTATGACTCCTCGGACACTGAAGTAGTCCGTGTCCAAATGCAACAAGATCTGGACGATATCCAGGCTTGGGGTGACAAGTCGCAAGTAACATTCGCACCACACAAATACCAAGCTATGACCATCACCAAAAAGAGACAATCTGACCACTGCCCCTTGACAGTCAGTGGTGTTACTATTACTGAATCCCCCAATATCAACATTCTGGGAGTTATTATTGATCAGAAACTCAAATGGACTCACCACATAAATGCAATGGCTGTAAGAGCAGGCCAGAGGCTAGTAATGCTATGGTGAGTAACTCACCCTGTTACTCCCTAAAGCCTGCCCACCAACTACAAAGCACAAGTAAGAAGTGTGAAGAAATACTCCCCACTTGCCTGTATGAGTGCAGCCCCAGCAACACTCAAGAAGCTTGACACCATCCAGGCCAAAGCAGCTTGATTGGCACTGCATCCACAGCATCCATTTCCTCCACCACCGATGCTCAGTAGCAGCAGTGTGTACTGTATTCAAGATGCACTGCAGAAATTCACCAAAGATCCTTAGACAGCACCTTCCAAACCCATGAGCACTTCCATCTAGAAGGACGAGGGCAGCAGATATATGGGAATACCACCACCTTCATGTTCCCTTCCAAGCCACTCACCATCCTGATTGGAAATATATCCCTGTTCCTTCATTGTCGCTGGGTTAACATCCTGGACTTCCCTCCCTAATGGCATTGTAGGTCAACCCACAGCAGGTAGACTGCAGTGGATCAAAAAGACCACTCGCCACCACCTTTTCAAAGGCAACTAGGGATGGGCAATAAATGCTGGCCAACTAGCAACACTCATATCCTACAAAATGAATAAATTGTAAAAAACGGCTGTTTCCATAAGTTCCGAAACCACTGCCTGTATGCATCCGGAGCCAACTCATATGTACTTAGAGTAGTCCTGTGCAACTAATCATAATTCCTAGAATCTACCTTTGACAGAGATGCATTAATCTCCTGTGCTTTGCTCGTTGATATACTTTGCATGGACAAGGCCCAGTCTGCTTAGGCCACCTCATTTGGTTGCTATCTTCTCAAGCAAAATGAAAATTGCTTCCACATCCTTCAAATTTGTGCCAAAGCCTGTGAAACCTTAAATATCTCCTAACAGAATCATGGATTTGATTAGAACCATGTTTTCCATGTTTTCCTAAACTTCTGGCTTGGCTTGCCAAAGCTGCATCATTTTTAAGTTCTTGTTCTGTCTCTGTCTTCTCCCTTTCTTTCTCGTTTTCTTCCATTTCTGTTTCTTTCCTATGGAATTGCATTTTTTTAAACTTCTAACACTCTTTGTAATTCCCTTTCTTTCTCTTTTCCTCCTTTTGAAATTCAGTGCAGACTGGTTCTGGAAAGATGGGACCAGTAGAAACAGGGTTACGCCTGGGCAGGACCAGGACAGTTGGTCTAGGGGGATATTGCTAGAGCGGCTGTAGAGGCTTTAATATAAAATGGCAGGGAGATCAAGGACAAGAACAATTGACAGAAAGGGGAATAAGAAGAGTGATAGTCAGAGAACGCAAGGGCCAGAATCAAACAGGCCCACAGTGAAAAATAATTGGAATGGGGCAATTAATGCTAAAAAAAATCTTAAAGCTTTGTGCCTTAAAGCATGGAGCATTCGCAATATAGCGGATGAATTAACTGTGCAAATAGATTAAAATAGTTTAATGATATAGTTGGAGTTAAGAAGATATGACTGCATGCTGATCAGGGATGGAAACTGAATATCAGTGGAGTTGCATTGGTGATTAAGTGTAGTAATGAGGAAGGATATTAACTGCAATGATGTGGAAACTGTATAGGTCCAGCTGGAAAACATCAAGCAGCAAAAAACATTAATCGGCGTTATATACAGGCCCTAAACTGTATGGGTGATTTTGGGAATGGCATTAAACAGGAAATTACAGACACATTCAATTATGGAACATCTGAAATTAGCGTGACTTTAATCTGCACGTAGATTGGTCAAATTAATGACACTAAAATAGGCAGTATCGTGGACAGTGAAGTAGGTTATCAGAAATTGCAGCAAGATCTTCATCAGCTGGGGAAGTAGGCTAAGAAATGGCAAATGGAGTTTAATATAGATAAGTGTGAAGTGTTGCATTTTGGAAAATCAAATCAAGGTCGGAGTTTCATGGTGAATGGTAGGGCCATAAGGAGTGTAGTGGAACAGAGGGACCTTGGAGTTCAGATGCACAGTCGTCTGAAAGTGGAGTCGCAGGTAAACAGGGCAGTGAGAAAGGTTTTTGACACACTGGCCTTCATCAGTCAGGGCATTGAATGTAGACGTTGGGAAGGTTATTTTGCAGTTGTACAGGACATTAGTGAGGCCGCGGTTGTAGTATTATGTTCAGTTTTGCTCAGCTTGCTATAGGAAAGATATTATTAAACTGGAAAGAGTGCAGAAGAAATTTACAAGGATGTTGCCAGGACTCAAGGGACTGAGTTATAGGGAGCGGTTGGGCAAGCTAGGACTTTTTCTTTAGAGCATAGGAGATTGAGGGGTTTCTTAAGAAGTGTATAAGATCATGAGAGGCATGGATAGGGTGAATGCTCTCAGTCCTTTTCCCAGGGTTGGGGAATTGTGGACTAGAGAGCATCAGTTTAAGGTAAGAGGGGAAAGAATACACGGGAACCTGAGAGGCAACTGGTACGCATATAGAATGAGCTGCCAGTGGAAGTAGTTGAGGTGGGTACATTAACAACATTTAAAAGACATTTGGATGAATTCATTGGATAGGAAAGGTTTAGAAGGATAGGAGCCAAGTGCAGGGAAATGGGGTTAGTGTGGATGGACATTTTGAATGTCATGGACCCGTTTGGGCTGAAGGGCCTGTCTCCGTGCTGTAGGACCCTGTGACTCTCTGACTCTTAAGTTCGTAATTTTACCATAGAGGATGATTTCCTGGAGTGCATACAAGATGATTTCCAGGACAAATATGTCGAACGAATTAGAGAACAGGCAACCCTAGACAAAGTACTTCGCAACGAGAAAGGAATTAGCAGTCTAGTTATGTGAGGCCCCTTGGGATTAAGCGATCATAATATGACAGGATTCCTCGTCAGGATGGACAGTGATGTAATTGACTCTGAGACTACTATCTTGAATCTACATAGAGGAAATTATGATTGTATGAGGCATGAGTTGGTTTTGATAGATTGCTGAAGGGGATAGGTTCCTCAAGATTACTTGGGATGATGGTGGAAAGGCAAAGCCAAACATTCAAAGAGTGCATGGGTGAACTGCAACAATTGTCCGTTCCTATCTGGCAGAAAAGTAAAACAGGAAATATCTCTTGCATGGGAGACTGATTGCAAAGGTAAGAAGCCCTTGTGATCCAAAGGAAAATAATTCTCATTCACATTCCCCCCACAGTCTCCTCTGCTGTAAAGGAAAACAACCCCAATCTGCCCAGTCTCTCTTCATAAGTAAAAATATCCAGCCCATGCTATATCGTGGAAAATTCCCTCTGTTCCATCTCCCATACAGTCACATCCTTTAATGTGGATTCCAGAGCTGCATACAATACTCTAGCTGTGGTCTAACCAACCAGCATAACTTTCCTGTTCTTAAACCTTATTCTTCGGCTAATAAAGGCAAGTATTTCATATGCCTTTTTAACCACTTAATCGAAATGTCCTGTTACCTTAAGGGATCAGTTCACATACATACTAAGGTTCCTTTGATCCTCACTGTTTCTCAGGGTCTTACCATTCATCATGCATTCCCCTTGTCTCATTTGTCCTGCCCAAGTGCATCACTCCACATTTATCCAGATTGGCTGATCAGTGACAAATGGAATTCAATCTGACCAGCCCATGTATATCCTCCTGTAATTCTTTTTTTTAATCTATCTGTGGGATGTGGACATCACTGGCTAGTCAGCATTTGTTGCCCATCCCTAGTTGCCCTTGAGAAGGTGGGGGTAAGCTGCCTTCTTGAACCTCATAGTTCATGTGCTGTAGGTAGACCCAGATGCCCTTATGGAGGGCATTCCAGGATTTTGACCCAGGCTAAGGCTAAGGCTGTCCTTCTCACTATTTACCACTACACTAATCTTTGGATGACTCCCAAACTATTGAACAACCGTCCTGCATTCAAGTCTAAATCCTTTATTTATGCCACAAAAGCAAGGGCCCCAGCTCTGATCCCTGCAGAACCCCACTGGACACAGGCTTCCAGTCATTAAAAAAAATACACCTTGATGCTCCTTGCCACTCAGCCATTTGTGGATCGACTTAGCCAAATTTCTTTGGATCCCAAGGGCTCTTACCTTTGTTATTAGTTTCCCATGCGGGACCTTATCAAAAACCTTACTGAAGTCAAAGCAGACTACATCAAATGCATTGTCCTCATCTGCACACCTGGTGACTGCTTCAAAAAATTCAGTCAAGTTGGTCAGACATGAATTGCTCTTATCAAAACCATGCTGACTGTTCTTGTTTACTCCCTACCTCTCCAAGTGCAGTTAAATTCTGTCCTTCAGAATTGCTTCCATTTGTTTCCCCACCACTGAGGTTAGACTGACTGGCTGTAGTTTCCTGATTTTTGCCATTGCTGTCTTCTTGAATAATGGTACCACTGGCAGTCCTCTGATACTTGGCCTGTGATCTGTGTCTCCCTAAAGTATTAAATCCATCCTTAGTAAAAGAACACACATATTTTTCTTCAAGTTGTAAAAATAGCCTAGTTCATCCTTTAACAAATGATCCAAACTTCCATTTTCCAGTTTTTGTTTCAAATATGTAGTCCTTTAGCAGGAATTCAAAATGGAAAATATTTACACAAAAATGTGACAAAATTATAAAAGGGAGTTGGACTTGATAGGGTTAGGGTTTAAAATGTTTGCAGATTAGTTTATTTAATATCATACATGTGTCTTCCAATTTTAAAATACACAATATTGAAAATTTTAGCACACAAGATAAGCAAATTGAATCAGATGACTATCAATGTGCTGGATCATTTTATGAAAGCAAAATACTTTAAGGATGCTTTTCTGAATGTGTGGATCCTCAGAAATTGGCAGCACTTGTGTAACCCCACTGTTTCTACAGAATGGTTCGTTTAAGTGAGAAAGTAGTACAGGATAATAGGCAGAAGGGCCTACTTGAACAAAGCTTTATGATCCTTTGATTTAAAAAATCTACAGTCCTTGAATGTGTAGAACGTTGTGGTGGGGAGGTTGCAATTTGTGAAATGCTGCTGAAAATAAAATCAGGAAGATTAGTATGCGGTGAAGATAGAGTTTGCACATAGCCAGGCTGCTCGTTATTGGTGCACAGAGGTCACGTGCTTCGTCTTCCCAAAGCAAAACAATTTGAGAGCCCAGAAATTTCTGTTGGTGGGTTCAGCAGCTAAGTACTTAATTTAATCAAATCAAATTTCTCTGTGATTATTTTAAGATGACAGTCATTGAGTGAAAGCAATTGAACTGGTAGACAAAGAATGTCATCCAAAAACATTAAGTGTTTTGTTGCTCACCCTGCCAACACTATTTTAGGGATTATAACGAGGTCAGCCAGGTGGATCTCATAGAATATGAGTTCCCTGATTGGGGCAGTTCATCTGGTCCAATCTGGGAGCCCTGACTGACAGATATAAATAGGAGTACCAGACATTCTTTCACTCTAAAAGCTGGCTCTGAGAGAGTTGGATCAGTGTCAAGGACTTTTGAAATGTAAATAAAGGGTGACTTGGTAAGCGGATACCGGCCTCTGTGGAGTTATTTCAGTGGCGACGAGAGTAAAGCACGTCCTGAACAAATTCGCTCACAGCAGTCATCTTTGAGTTGGGATAAGCATTGCTTGCATCATACCGTTGTTGGGGAAGCTTGACTTGTTTGACCCTGCTATCGAAGACTGGGCCCAGTTTGTGGAAAGAATGTGTTACTTTTTCTGGGCAAATGCCATTGAGAACAGATGAAATGCAATGAGTAATTCTTCTGACAGCTTTTTCAGTTATTAGGAACCTTACTTTTCCTGAGGCACCACATACTAAAACCTTTTAAGAGTTGATGGATTTAGCTGAAGAATATTATGACCCCAGCCTCCCCCAATTCTGAGATGCTATCATTTTTACTCAGCAGTTTGACAACTAGGTTAAGACAACTGGCAGAGAGGCATGTGACTTTGGTTTAACCTTTAATGAGATGCTGAGAGACCGATTGGTCTGTGGGCTTAATGATGTAACCATGCGAAAGTGCCTACTAGCTGAAGCCCAACTAGACTTCAAACAGACACTACAACTGGCTTCATAATTGGAAAATGCAGCAAGTGGAGCACACGAGGTGCAGGGTATTCCAATGGAAGTGGACACCCCCGCCAGGCCACCTGAGCTTGGGGAACATCACTTGAGTGAGGGAAATTACGTAGTCTCACTCAGGACATATCCTGAACAGGGGGACTCTGGGTCAGCC